GAGGGTTGACATGTCATGGGGTTGTTAACCAGTGTCATAAAACAATATGTGTACTACTGTTTAATGAGAAACTATTTGTTCTGTAAACCTTCACCTGAAGTACAATTAAAAAAAAAAGTAAAAAAGAAGATTACAGCCTTACCAAAATATATATAAAACTTCGACAGCTTAACAACAGAAAGACAAATAACCCAATTATAAAATGGACAAAGGACTTGAATAGACATTTCACCAAAGAGGACATTCAAATGGCCACCAAACATGAAAAGATACTCGGCATCATTAGCCATCAGAGAGATGCAGATCAAAACGACAATGAGATACGATTTCACTCCCACTAGGACGGCTAAGATTAAAAATACAGAAAATAACAAATGTTGGCGAGGATGTGGGGAAATTGAACCCTTATCCATTGCTGGTGGGAATGCAAAATGGTACGGTTGCTGTGTAAAACTGTGGCTGTTCCTCAAAAAACTAAAAATAGATCTACCATATCACCCAGCAATTCCACTTCTAGGTATATACGCAAAAGGCTTGAAAGCAGAGACTCAAAAAGAGACATGTACACCAATGTTCATTGCAGCACTATTCACAATAGCAAAAAGGTAGAAACAACCTAAATCACCATGAACAGATGAATGGATAAACAAAATGTGGTACATACATACAGTGAAATACTATCAGCCTGTAGGAGAAATGATGTCTCGATACATGCTGCAGTATGGATGGAGCTTGAAGACATTATGCTGAACAAAGTGTGCCAATCGTAAAAGGACAAATGTTATATGACCTCACTTATATGAAAAGGCCAGATGTATGGAGACCAAAGTTTATTATTGATTACCAGGGGAGGGAGGATGTAAGTAGGGAGGGGTTAACAGTGATGAGAAAATCGCATTGATTCAGGGTAGGGTTGCACAGCCGATTATTGTAATTGCTGTCAATAAGTTGTACACCTGTAAAAAGCTGAATTGGCAGAAATTGTGTGATAGATGTATTTACAACAATGACAAAAAGAAAAAAAGCTGTTGAGGCTGCTTATGTACAATCAACAGCTCATGAGATTTGGTGCCTTGGTTTAGAGGTTTAGGGTCATGGTTTCACGGGACATCTCAGTTAATTGGCCTAATAACATGTTTATTGATTCTGTTTTACCTCCTAGTCCGTTGCATAGTGCCTGGGTCTTAACAGCTTACAAGTGACCATACAAAGCCAACAATTGGTCTCTATTCACTTGCAGCAGAGGAAGAAGGAGAGTCAGGAATAGAAGGAGAATATGGGATGTATGGCTAATTGCCTCCATGAACAACTAACTGCGTCCTTTGCTGTGAGGCCAGAAGAACTGGATGGTGCCTAGCTACCATTACTGAACATTTTGATCAAAGATTCTGTAGAAGAATCCTGATCAAAAGGGGGAAAATGCAGAACTGAGTTTCAATTTCTCATAGACTCTAGACTTTGTGGAGTCCTGGAGGGTGAATGAACCCCTGAAACTATTACCCTGAGATAATCTTCAAACCTTAAACCAAAAATATCCCCTGAAGTCATCTTAAAACTGAAAAATAGTTTAATTTCACTAGTAAAAAATGTCTGCCTTG